TCTGATGCAAAAATATTACTACAGAAACTAAGATCAAAATAAATAATTTTATAACGATACAAAATATTATAATAGCACACATATTATGTCTGTTCTAATAGCAATAGTCGATGTGTACCAAAAGGGCAAAATTATGACAAGAAACTAAGGGCTGAGGAAAAGTGATCTCTCATACGCAATGAAAATAACTCACTCTAAAAGTTCCATACTAGTGGCTCAGTAGTAAGTTGAGAGCTTAAAAGTCTGGGATCAATCCCTGTAGTGCAAGTAACCTATTACGCTTAACAACAAGCAAAACACTAACAGATTTCCTCCAAACTTAGATACTCGAGTGGTCACTGTTGCTTAGATACTAGCAGGCAAAACCTTCTTGTTTCAGATGCAGAAGCTCATGGTTGTATAAATATCGGTACAAGAAGGCTGTTTCCGTTACAAACGGAAAAATAATAATAGCTCATGGTTGATTATATATTTACGTAGGAAAGTCGGTCTCTACTACAAAACAAAGAATAACTGACATATAAAATAAAGACTGTAAATCATTCCAATATGTGCATCACTGATATACTTACCGTTAAGGATGGGAAAATTAGTAACAACATTATCGTATTCTTCTTGACGATTATGTTATTAGGAAAGTTGCACAAGGAGTTGGAATGTGTTTGTTCAACAATGCCCCCTTGTGGCAAAGCGGATGTCTGCGGACTTACAACGCTAGAATCTGGGTTTCGATACCCGTGCTGGGCAGAGCACAGATAGCCCATTTTGTAGCTTTCTGCTTAATTACAAACATACATTGTCCAACAAAAAACATACATCTTGCATGGCTCTAACTTTTTATACTAAAAACAACTATAGCTTCGACGATCAGTGAAAACATTCGCACTACAGATAAACAACTCTGTAGCATAATGTTCTCTTAGCTTACCAAAACAGTACAACACTTTCTATAGCATAATGTTCTCTTAGCTTACTAAAACAGTACAACACTTTCTGTAGCATAATGTTTTCTTAGCTTACCAAAACAGTACAACACTTTCTGTAGCATAATGTTCAGAAAGTGTTGTACTGTTTTGGTAAGCTAAGAGTTGTACTGTTTTGGTAAGCTAAGAGAACATTATGCTATAGAAAGTGTTGTACTGTTTTGGTAAGCTAAGAGAACATTATGCTATGGTAAGCTAAGAGAACATTATGCTACAGAAAGTGTTGTACTGTTTTGGTAAGCTAAGAGAACATTATGCTATAGAAAGTGTTGTACTGTTTTGGTAAGCTAAGAGAACATTATGCTACAGAAAGTGTTGTACTGTTTTGGTAAGCTAAGATAACATTATGCTATAGAAACTGTTGTACTGTTTTGGTAAGCTAAGAGAACATTATGCTACAGAAAGTGTTGTACTGTTTTGGTAAGCTAAGAAAACATTATGCTATAGAAAGTGTTGTACTGTTTTGGTAAGCTAAGATAACATTATGCTATAGAAATTAAAACAGTACAACAGTTTCTATAGCATAATGTTATCTTAGCTTACCAAAACAGTACAACACTATCTATAGCATAATGTTCTCTTAGCTTACCAAAACAGTACAACACTTTCTATAGCATAATGTTCTCTTAGCTTACCAAAACAGTACAACAGTTTCTATAGCATAATGTTCTCTTAGCTTACCAAAACAGTACAACACTTTCTATAGCATAATGTTCTCTTAGCTTACCAAAACAGTACAACACTTTCTATAGCATAATGTTCTCTTAGCTTACCAAAACAGTACAACACTTTCTATACTATTAATAATAATGCACCTTTTTTTAATATCCGTCTGTAACACATACTTTACAACGGTACGTGTGTTATTCTCAATCAGTTTATTGTTTTGTTCAACACAAATAAGAAACTACTCTATATTAAAATTTTGTCATAGGTATGTAAAAAGATTAATTACAACAGCACGTGTGTTTATCTGCAATTCTGTATTGTTCTATCCAACATACTACAATAGCTACTATACTATAAAGCGCAAACAATACAATAGTTTTTGTATTGTTTTGAGTTGTGCGGTTCACCACAAACAGTACAATAGATGCTACATTTTTCTCCTTCCAATTTGTATTTTCAAGTACAAACTACACATCTTTTTGAATTTTCCCGCTTTTACCTTCTGGTACGAATGATGCAACAGCTACTGCAATTTTCTGTTGCACTAGGCACCTTTAACAATGCAGCACCTACTGCATCCTTCTGTGTTGCACTAGGCACCTTTAACAATGCAGCAGCTACTGCATCCTCGTGTGTTGCACTGGGCATATTTAACAATGCAGCAGCTACTGCATCCTTCTGTGATACACTAGGCACCTTTAACAATGCAGCAGCTACTTCATCCTTCTGTGATACACTAGGCACCTTTTAACAATGC